GACACGATCTTGTTTGTCTTCGTCTTCACCATTGCTTGTTTCGATCACCCCACCAGCGTCAGTTTCTGGTCGTTTACGTCCACTTGATCTCACCGGACGATCTTGGAGTGTTACATGTTCATCAGTGTAGCTACAAAGCCGATTCCAATGGATGAAATTCAATTGCTTGGCGGAGTATTGGCGATCCGTTTGCTCAGGTCGTGTCGAAGTGCGGTTGACTCGAATCTTGCCATAGCTTCATGCTCCAAAACATGGAGTCTCAGCGCTCTCTTCGTGCGTGCATCTCATTCACCACGCTTGCAGAATGTTCATCATGTTTCGTGCACGCGGTGAATGTTTGAATGCAGGAAAATTGACTCCTTGATGCCTGTTTATGATGTTTTGGTTCGTTGTACAAGATTTAATTTCAGCAGGAACGCAAATACGAACAAGCTCTGATTGGAGGCGAACGTGTGTGTGATTGTCAGTATAAATTTTCATGAATAAGGATGATGAATTGGTCAACCAACACACAATAGCGACGTTTAACTGGCTGAAATGATAAGCAGTTCTTCCCTAAATTCTCTGCGTTTATTGGCTCGACATCGTTTTCCCACTTAATTGCCGTGGTCATCAATTGTGAACTACACATACAAAGACCAACATGACCGGGGCTATGACCTCCGGTTACGGTGATTGAGAACTGCAAAATACAATTCGAACCAACCAAAAAAATATCTCGGTTGGCACGAATCCAAAAATTATTCACTTTCGCATGTACTACTGTAGTTAGTAGTAGTACTAAAGGGTGATTCGAGGTGACATTGGGTGCTGTCGGGTCGTTGCCGCCGTTGTCACTTGCAAATGTCAATGACCGTCGTTCGTCGGCAATCGAGCCTTCTTCGGGCGCACAGCTTCAATCATGACGAAGTCTTGGCGCGTCTCCATCGCCTGCCAAGCCTAAAACCCACGACGATGGTCCCGCTCCCGAGCCCGGTCTTCTGGGATGTTGAAGCAATACACGACATTGAGGCAGAGGTGTCGCCAACCCCGTCGAGGAATCGGTTGGCGGGGGCGTTGTACATGCTCCTCGGTTTAGAATTCCACGTGTGGCTTCCCATGAACGCCTTCACGCACGCACTGATCCATGACAACGCCATGCTTGTCCCGTTCACCCTCCTCGTCGTGCTACTTGGCACGCCACTGCTTCTCTTCCCAGGTGCATCTAGAGCTCTCGAAAGACTGTTCTCTCAAGCGATTCTAGTGCTGGTGTGTCTCAAAGTAGACGGGACCATCGCAGCGTCGTGGTGCATGTGCTTTACACCGCTTTGGATCGTGCATGCCATCGACAACATCTACTGTCCATGGCTAGCCCACGTCAAGAAGTCTGCCATGTCAAACACAATGCCTGCTCCGCCATCGTCGCACCAAAGCAGTGATGTACCGGCAAGTCCGCAGCCTCAGTCGCCGTCTTCTCCAATGCCAACGACACCTGCGGATTCGAGTGACGACATGCACGCGTCGACCACAGCGTATTCGATTCAAGCTACGGCCGGCAACTTCAGTCGTGCCTCATCGCTGGCGTCCCCACAATCACGTGTTGTAGCAGCAGAGCACACCACGGTCCCACAACCCGATTCGACCTCACCTCCCGCTAAAGGAAACAGATTCAACGGGTACCACAACTCGACGAGCATGCAGCCCGTCCGGCTCAAACAACGTCGGACCTTGCGTTCATGTAGGCGCGATATCGTCATGACGGTCTGCGTCGTTGCAGCTGAAGTAATGGTGGCACTCCGGCTGGACGGGTTCCTGGCGTCTGTGCCGTGGGTCGTTGTGTTTGGGTGCCCGCTTGTCGTCTACTATGGCATGCAGTGGAACGACACTTCGTTTACGTGGTGGTTTCGCGACTGCTTGTTCCATGTAGCGCAAGTCATTTTCGTCGCGCTCAAGGCGGATGGGTTCTTGACGGGCTGGTCGTGGGCCACAGTGTTTCTCCCGACGTGGTTGGCAGCCACCATCGTGGTCTACATCGTGGTGGGTGGCATCTCCTTTGGCGGGCGCTCGCGACAGAGTCGTGGGTGGACTCGATTCAGGGCGGAGACCGCCTGACATGAGAAGCTTTGCATGCTCTAGACTCACGATGCCTGGGTGGCGCTGTACCGGACCACAGAACCAGAGCCCCCGTTGAGCGCCGTCGGGCGTGTCCTCGTCATTGTAGCCGTCGTTTGGTACTTTGTGCCGTATATTCTCGTCGTCGCGAGTTTGGACGGCATCGTGACCTTCCCCTCGATCCTCGTCGTGCTTGTGCCGTGGCTCGTAGTCGTCGGCGGCTGGATCTCGATGGTACGTCCATGTGCGCCACTGCCATGCGCTATGCAACCATGGCATCGCTTCGACGTAGGCCGTTCTCGCCGCACTCGAAGACGACCAAGTAGGATCACCCGACATTTTGCCCGTCAATCGCTTCGAAAGCACGGGGTGGTACATCGTGTTACCGTGGACCACCATGAACGTGTGGTTACTGCTGCTCATGGTCGCGGTACGTCCGTCGGTTGCGCTGTGTAACTGCGTGTACCGACGCCATCCACGACTCATGCTGCCCTGCGAATGTAGGCGGTGGTTTACGCGGTGAACGACGGCGGCAGCACCACCACCCCCGAGGCTGCACGCGCTGATTCGAATCACCCATAGGCAGAGGTGTTGTGCCTTGCGCCTGGCACCACAGATAATGAAACAGCCCCCCCCCTCCGTTGCAAAGTTGGAGATGGTGGAGGAAAGCATGTCTTGGTGAATTGTGTACGACGCAGCACCAGCGCCTCCCTGCGACGACGTGAAAGAGTACGAGTCTTCTATACCTAGCGAGTTGGATCTGTGGCCTTAGGTTAGCACCACCAGTCGAACCAGCACCATGGCGGGAACGTGGCCCGTACCAGCAGTCTCTCGTGAACTCGTAAATTGTGCACCTTGGCCCTCCCCTTGGCCATACTCTAAAAACTATGCTTAACGTTAGTAAGATTTGAACTCTCATCTACTACAGTAGATCCGCAAGCAACGGCTAGATGGCAATAGAATATATATTATATTTTTAGTGAATATAGATTAATCACAAAATTGAACGTTAAACTTTTAGTCTAGTGAGTAGGACCTTTCCTTTTCACAGCCAAAACTCGGGTTCAAGTCGCACTCATCCTGCATGACCAAGGCGCCAAATGCCGACGACTTGGGGAGTCGGCTCTGCACTCATTCAGGACAGACTCAGTCAACTTCCTTGACCACTTCCTGGCTTCATGCACGCAACGCATTCAAACACAGGTGGTTCGAACCAAAACCGTGCGACCCGTAGACGATATTTCTTGTTGTTGCAAAGACAAAAGTTCCAATCACTACTTAAGCACGGGCGACTTGGCCGGCAATGCGATCCAAATCAGTTTGGCCGTGGCTCGTAATTTGACGGCCGCCCTTGTTCACGCCTTCGGGGCACTTTTCCACGACCTTCATTTCTTCGAGTTGTTGCAAGATGTGGCGAATCAAACCACCCGACGCCTTTTGGTATTGCTGGCGGAGGGCACCACGGCGGGCGGCGCCACCATACACCTTCTTCAACGCACCAACACCCGTGTATTCACGGAGGTACACCTTGCGCGCGATGGACGCGGCACGGATGTAGTACCAGTCGGCGCTGTCGGGCGAGTATTCCTTGAACGAAGCGGTTTTCACAATGTCCCACCAGATGGGCAATTCCATCTTGCCGGAGCGCTTCAAGTGTTCAGCGTATTCCTTGATGAAGTCGGCGGCCTTGACGTCGCGGACAGTCACACCACGGGGAGCATCGAAATCAGCCATTGTCAAAGTCTACACACGAGCAGATGAGAACACGTCTGTACCACCGCGTCCACACGGCTTCACCAGCGCCCGCGCAGCGTCCGATGCCCGCAGGTGCACGGGCCTCGTCCTTCGGACGAGACTCGACCCATTCAGGGCGGGCGCGTAGCGGGAGCCGACTCAACCATGCTTAGCAGGACAGTCTCGGTTCTCTGGAGAGAACGTCATTCCTTCACCATCTTGGAGATGCCGGGAACAACATGCACAGGCCGCGGCACTTACTTTGTCGAAGCGGGCAACAAGAAGAGTGAATCGCACAAACTCAGTTTCCCCCGCGCCAGCGGCTCCTGGCCAATTGGCCATTGATGGAAAGCCATTGGCTATAAAGATGCAGATACGCCAATGCCATTGGCTATAATGTTTGAGACGCGAAAGGCCATTGGTAAGATCGAGTCGAACTTTGGCGGACAATCGCGTTTGATTGGTGGGAACTACACGAGTGGTGGTTGACCGTTGGCCCTTTGGATCGAATTCCCGGCCATCCAAATTCGTATTCGACTCCATCATGTTGGTGCTTTTCGAGACGGCGGCGGGCCATGCGCTCTTCAAGGTGCAGGATGAAGGCAAGTTGGCCAACGTGGATGACATCCATAAGCAGTTCGCCACGGCCGACAAGGCCAACTCTTTGTACGTCGAACCATGGCCTCCATGTCGACGATCTCATCCAGGCCCACGTTTGAATTCGTAGCCTCAAGCTGAAAGCGTTCAACGCGTTCAAGGACACGACGGAAGCCGTGGCCGCGGCCGCCGACTGCGTTGACAACACGGTTGGCAAGAGCCTCAAGAAGTTTTTGAAGAAGCACGTGAAGGACGCCGGCTTGTCGGACAAGCTCGCCGTCGTCGACAAGGCGTTTGGCGGTGTGATCAAGGAAAAACTCGGCATCCAGTGCGTACACGACGCATCCATCCAAGAACTGCTTCGTGGCATCCGCACCCACATGAACTCGCTGATCTCTGGTCTGGACGACCAAGATTTGAAAAATATGACGTTGGGGTTGTCGCACAGCTTGTCTCGGTACAAGCTCAAGTTCAGCGCCGACAAGGTCGACACGATGATCGTGCAGGCGATCGGACTCTTGGACGAACTCGACAAGGAAATCAACACGTACTCGATGCGCGTGCGCGAATGGTTTGGCTGGCACTTTCCCGAGATGGGCAAGATTGTCACGGACAACTTGCAATACGCCCGCGTCGTGCTCAAGACTGGCACACGCCCCCACGTAAAGAACCTCGACTTCTCCGACATTTTGAGCGCTGATGTCGAAGCGTCCATGCGCGAAGTGTGCGAAGTTTCCATGGGCACGGACATTTCGGACGAAGACGTGCTCAACATCGCGTCGCTGTGCACCCAAGTCATCTCGCTCACAGAGTACCGCACGCAGCTCTTTGACTACCTGAAGAACCGCATGAACGCGATCGCGCCCAACCTCACTGTCATGGTCGGGGAATTGGTCGGCGCCCGCCTCATTGCGCACGCCGGGTCGCTCATGAACCTGGCGAAGCATCCCGCGTCAACGGTCCAAATTCTCGGCGCGGAAAAGGCGCTTTTCCGCGCGTTGAAAACCAAGCACGACACACCCAAGTACGGTTTGATTTACCATGCGTCGCTCATCGGGCAGACGGCCCCCAAGCACAAGGGGAAAATCTCGCGCGTCCTGGCGGCCAAGACGTCGCTTGCCGTGCGAGTCGACGCGTTGGGCGATGCGACAGAAGCCACGATTGGTTTTGACAACCGCGCCAAGGTCGAGGCGCGCATGCGCCAGCTCGAGAACGGGTTCACGGGCGTTGTGTCTGGCAAGGGCAAGGCAAAGAACGAAGTGAAAAAGTACGTCAAGGAGCCCGTCGCAGCCGTGAAGAGCTACAACGACGCAGACGATATCAAGGTGGAGAAAAAGGAGAAGAAGCGCAAGGCCGACGACGAGGACGACGAGCCCAAGAAGAAGGCCAAGAAGGAAAAGAAGGCCAAGAAGGAGCAGGAAGAAGTGGCCGCCGACGACGACGAAGTGGACACAAAGGAGAAGAAGAAGAAGAAGAAAAAGAAGGCGGAATAGATTGATGGATATTGAATGCTAGTACCTATATGACAAAACCCTTCGACTCGAATGGCGCGCGTGGTCCTGTCGATTCCGGTAGGATGGCGGTCGAAGGGGCCATGGCGACTCCTACAGGACGGCGGTCGAAAGCTTCCCCGCCATGGCGTCGCGGGGATCCGCTGATATTCGTGGAGACCTCGATTGTCGGCACGCTGCGGTTGTAGATGCACAGGGTGGGCACAGTGATGCCTGATGCAGTGCATGGCATCGGAGTCTGCATTCCCACTCATGCAGCTATTGGCGACCGATTGGGCGAGGGCATTGACTGAGGAGAGGGCGGTGTGGCAAGGGCGTTCACCCGTCAGCAGGGAAATGACAAAGGTGATGCTTTTCCAAGTACAGAATCATGATGTCAACTTGCTTCCCAGTCGCGGAAACGACACGCGCGAGGTGCGATGCGACCGGAGGGGAAACAGCACCAGCCGCTTGATAAGAGGATCGCCTAGTTCGATCGATGATGGAAAGCGCTGCCAGTTTGGCAGCGTGATGTCTCTTGTGAAGAACGCATGCAAGGAGCATCGAGGAGAAAGGCAGTGGGAGTTGAATGCGTCGGTGGAAGGGAGTCGATGAGAGAAGACTGGAGATGTTACAAGATTCGCTTTGCTAATGCGCGGACGCGAAGGTCAAAGTCCGGCGACGTGATGAGCGAATCGTGGGCGTAGAACGGATTCAAAAGGAGCTTCACGTACAGATCGTACACTTCCTGGAAGAAGAGCTTGATCGCATCTTCGTTGCGGCTTTCATGGAGGAGGAGGAACTTGACTGTCGTCGCCGTGACAAAACCCGACACGAATTGGTCGTTGAACTTGTCGACGACTTTCATCCACATGTTGTTGTTCGTCCACATGGACTCATGGACGATGTCCAGCGCCGAATGCAGCACGAATTCATCCACATGCGCCGTCTCTTCCTTACGAGGCTTCACATCAAGCGAGTACAGCGGCTCCTTGGACCCAACAATCATGAAGAGCGACATGGCCGACCACGCCGATGAAATGCGATTCTCAATGATCCGGATAATAAAAAATTATCCGGGTCATTGCTGGAATCTCAACTGCACAACAGCGCGATGCCACAACTTGGCACAATCGTCACGGCGGTCGCGGTGGTCGTGGCGGTCTTCCTGTGGAGAATATGGTGCATGCTTCCACGGCGGCGCCACGGTAACAGTGCTGCATCGCCGTTGCTCGGTACATCTCCATTCTCTGGCAACCAGACTCTGCATGGAGGCGCCACCGCCAAGAAGATTCGCACCCTTGTGGTGTTGGGATCTGGTGGGCACACGACCGAGATGCTCAAGCTGATCAAGCGACTGTCGGTGGAGCAGTACACACCTCTGGCGTTTGTCGTCGCAGCGTCGGACCACACCAGCGAAGAGAAAGCTCGAATGGAACGCAAGGTACGAAGGCAGGTCGAGAGATACCGGAACGACGTGACGATCCATGATCTGCAGGGAAGTGCGCTGCAGGTTTACACGATTCCACGCAGCCGTGAGGTACATCGTCGACGAAAACTTGCTGCTAGTTGATGCATCTGCGTCGTAGGTCGGGCAGTCGTGGACGTCGACCGTTTTCACGTCCATGCACTCGCTTCTGTACAGCATTGCAGTCGTGTTTCACTTTCAGCCCGATCTCTTACTCTGCAACGGGCCAGGTACGCGATCGCTCGATTGCGAACCAGAAACATCGACAGTCCGTGTGTGCCTCGGCTGGATTTGCATGCGCGCCCTGCCTCTCCACCGCCACGCCATTCATCACCATGACCGTAGGCACGTGCATCCCCATCTGCGTTGCGCTCCTTCTCCGTCGCTTCCTGGGCCTTGATACGACGGCCAAGTTGATCTTTTGCGAATCGTTTGCGCGGGTCCAGCGCCTATCGCTGTCCGGACGCATTCTGTACCATGTTGCCGACGCGTTTGTCGTGCACTGGCCGCAGCTCCAGGCCAAGTACCCGCACGCCACGTATCTCGGGACGATTTGCTAAGTCACCTTGCACTGGTTGTACATCCTTCCGTCTCAACCGCATTCTGCTTGTTTCGCTTCGTCTGCCGTTTTATTACTCCGTTGCGCTATGCATGGCGATCCAGCCCCACGACATGCCCGGATCAGCGCCCGGACGGACTGCGCGCACGTGTGTGGTGATGCGCGGGCTTGTATCAACAATTAGGAATCGTGGCGCTGCCGCCTTAAGTAGCACCAACGGCCCGAGGTTGGCCATTCGTGTGGGAATTGTCGCTGGGCATCCATTGCAGCCGCAAGAGTTCGCTTCGATTCTACACGCACGTGCACGCATGAGTCGTCGCGACCGTATACCAGGAACGACGTACTGATTCACTCCACGTGACGAGTTTGGCCATTTGATCTGGCGTGAGCACCGCGCGAAAGTACACATCCAGGGACGGCGCAAACGCGCCGAGTTCGAACGCTTGGCGGCGGAGGGCCTTGAACGCTTTCACGAGAAGGACGAGGCGCGTCATTTCGCGGCGGCGGACGCCGGCCGTGAAGTCTTGAATCTGTTGGACCTGGGCAGGCGACAGCCGCAAGACGTTCGCGAGGCCATTGGAGGCGGCGTCCCAGAGCATGTACATGTCTAGGAGGCTCGCTTGCAACAGCGTCATGGTCCGTGCGAGGGCGGTGAAAACCTTGTCCAGGATGGGGTGCTTGGGGTGGCCAAGCATGCGTCGTTGCCGCGCGGCATGCATGACGGTCGCGAACGACGGGACATGCGGGCGAAGGCCGCACATCAACTCGAGTTGTTGCGGCGGGACCATCGGCGACCGGCCAAACCGGAACCGTAGCAGCGATTCCTTGGATATCTGGAGGCTCTGGATGCCATCTTCCAGGACTTCCACGTACTTTTGCTGCTTCTTGCGCGATTCGCGCGCCGAGTCGCGGTTGCGCTCAAGTTTCTTGTCGCGTTTCTCGGCTTCTTCGTCCAACAAGCTCTGCAGCATGGAGCTGATTTCGCCCGTCCCGGGCTTTCGCGCGAGCGGGACGTGAGATTTCAAGGGAGGCTTAGCGATGAGCGGTGTGGCGGTGGCCACGGCGGACGCACCGAGCCCCAGTGGCATCGCTATCGCGAACGGTAGCGACGCCGGCGGCAAACTGCTCATTCCACCCACGCCCATCATCGATGGCATGTTCATAAACGAGTTGAGCATCATGTTTGAATTGCCCGTCTGACTGGCAAAGTGCTGCGGCGAGGTGTGCATCTGGTACGGACCTTGATTGTACATCATGAAGCCGGGCGGCATCATCATGTTGTTGAGCAGCGACGGCGACGACGAGGGGCCAAACATTCCGCTGGGGTGACTTGTACCCATGCCGGCCAAGCTGTTGGACGTGCCAGACGGCGGCGCGGTCTGCGATGGTGGCATTGGGTGGTACAGAATGTGCTGTGGTGTGGCCATGCCAAACTGTCCGTGGTTTTGGCCGTTGGCTGAGTTGCTGGGAAACCCATTGTGTTGCGGAGATGGTTGCTGGTGCATCGTTGACCCAAACGACGACCCGTGGTGCATATTTGTGGCGGATGTCGGCAGTTGAAGTCCATTGGACTGAAAACCAGACCCTTGCTGCATCGTAGAGTACTCGCCGAATGGTTGGCCCATTGCATTAAACATGTTGGGTTGGTGGCTGTTGGCGCTGAAACTGGATGTGGCCGATGGCTGGTTCACGGACGCCGGCGTCGGGAGCGAGTACGTTGGCATGCTCACAATGGTTTCGTGGGGCGGCGAGATCGGGGCAGAGCGTCCTCCGCTGACGTTGTCGTCTTTTACGCCTCGGAAATGCGCCGAATGGTTGGCATGTGGAGATGGATTCGAAGCGCGGCGAACGTTGGACTGTGCGGTTGATGTGCTGTCGCGCGTGTCCTTGGACGTCATTCCACTCGCTGGGTTTCCAAGTGCAGACGGCAGAAGCATCATATCCGCCACATCCTGGGCTGTAAAGTTGCGCAAAGACGTCGGTGGACTCATCATATCGTCGTATCCTGTCTCGGCCTTCACGTTGCCTTCCGCCATGAGGCTGTCGAGCAGCGAGTCGGACGATGCGGGTGGTTGTTTATCAACATCTTCCACGTACGTCATGTCCATGCCGCTTGCAAAATTCGCGAGTGTTGTGTCGTCTTGCAAGGCACTGTCGTCGTTCCAATCGTCCCACAAATTACGAGTCAAGTTGGAAGGAAGGCCACTGCAACACACCACGTCAATCGATTACCCCATAAAGTCGACATGAGCCCACGACAATTCAACGAGACGAACGTACCTCAAGACGGGGTCCATCATGTCGTCTTCATCAGCGTTTTCGACTTGCATGTCCTGTGTCCACACCACTCAGTCATCGCACGTTCCACCAGTGCACTCCATTCAGGGGACAACATGTCATCAATAACGCCACATGACCAAGATCAATGTGGAGAACACACGTACGTATGGGCTATAGAGGTAATTCTTCTTGGGCTTCGTGATCTTGGACATGGCGGCGGCGCGGCGGCACCTCCTTGCGCCGACAGGAACAATTTGCGGGAGCGAAAGCTATGAACCCTGTTCCAGCCAATCAGAACCGTCAAACCAACCGGCGAACTTGACGCGCGCGCTCGACGCAGGCTCGCTCTAGTGTAACAAAGGCGAAAGATGCCATTCGACGTGCGTAAACGAAATGCATTCCTCCAAGGAAACGCAGTCGAGCTTGCCCTTGGCCACCGATCGGGACGTCCGAATGACGCCCACAGCAAGGACGAGGCAGTGTAATTGCCACCGTGGTGGCCGCGCCACTGCTTGTGTCCTGGCTACATGGTCGGCCAATCAGCATTGACAATCCCATTGAGGTGGTTGACCAAGTGCACGCACCTTCGGTGCTTGCAGTGAACCCAGCCGAACAATCTTTTTCGAGCCGCACCAGTTCTTACACTATATAAAGTATACACACTAAATACGGTGAGTTGTACAAATGGTCAGTGGGTCCAGAAGTCATGCGCTTTTGTGGGCCACAAGAACGGATTGCTCCGCCAGCGCATCTACGCGTCGCTTCGATACTGCACAACGGGAGAAGGTATAGATTGTTGACTGCCGCCATGTTCTGCTAGAGCTGCCTGGAAGACGCGATTTGGGCGACCCTTCGCACAAAGGAAGGGCACACGCTGCTGCATTTTGAATCTTGAGCAATAAGCGTAGGTCCAACCGAGGTCACATGGGGCAGCAAAAACACTAGAATTATACAGTATCGTTAGCCCCCATGGGCGATGCCGCCGAAGCGGAGGGGCTGTCGACAGATTCCGGCAACGGGGGGGGCAAAGGGTCGTGTACAGGGTCGATGTTCACGCCGCAGGATCCACCAAAGCATGCGAGTGGGGCACCCCCATCGCACAGGGCGATACTGACGATCATGACCAAGACGAAAAGGACGAAGAGGACCAAGTCCGTGTAAAAAAAGATCACGCCCGACATGTACTCGTCGGGGGTCATGATCTGGTACATGCAGTGCGCGTCGAACGCAAACCACATGATGACGGGGAACGCAAACAGCATGGTGAGCCCAAACGTCGTCCCGGACATGACCCCCGTACCGCGAGCGCCAAACGCAATGCACGCCACGGTCGTGACCAGCATGTACGCCGCAATTCCTGCAACGACGCTGTGGCAGAGCTCAACTTGTCGCGTCTTTTTCACGAATCGCCGGCGCGTGCTGAAGAACGTCATGAACAGCATGACAAAGAAGCTCACGAGGACCGCCAAGACGGACGCTTTTGTGTTGTAAAACAGCCCAAATGCAGTCACGGCGATCGCTTCAATGCAAGTGAAGACGGCCAGCATGACAAAGTTGAACGGGAACGTGTACTTGACCAAGTAGAGCACAAAAAGTACAACGAGGGACAGCACGAAGCTGCCCCCTAGCGCCATGCCCGTGTCGTTGTGGGCAAATCGCTCCAACGAATCTGTCGTCAACGGCGAGTACGTAAAAATGATTACGAGCAGCATCAGCGCAAACAAGTGCAAGGTGAAGATACCCAGCACCTTCACTCGAAACGCCACTTGAATTTCGAGGGAGAGCGTGTTGATGCAGCTATCGACAGGTCCTTGGTCGGTAAGTGAAGAGAGGGCAATCAGTGCGTTTTGAGTCTTTCGGTGTTGCTGACGACGTTGCCGGAGCACTTGGTCCGTCTTGCGACCAATGGGAGAGGATAAACCACTGGGCACTGTGACTTCAAAACCCGACGTTGGATGACGGGCAGTCGCCGACTTGACGGGACTGTTGTCGCCGCTCACGTCGATTGTGACCATGCCATCGTGAGTGCTTGACGCGTCGACTATGTCGATGTCGCACACGTCGCTGGGCTTGGGCGGGGAGTCTGCTGTTAACGGAACCTTTGCCGACGAGTCGAACACTTCGATTTCCTCGTCTTCTGGTGCCGACGGCGGCGCCGACTCCATCCGCACGCTCTTCATGATGCTGAACGCGTTGTCCCCGAAAGTGCACAGGGATTTGTCTAAAAATACTCTCCAATCAGCATCGAGGACACCGGTCATCCGGATACTGGGGAGAGATCCGGATACGTTCCCGCGCGCGTTTCTGACTGGTGGTTGGCAGGGGGAAATTTCGACTTGGAAATTGTATACGGGTGAAGAGGACTAGCGATTTTGTGGCCCAGACCACGAGAAGTCGGAGAGAGAGAAAGCCATGTCGGACAACGAGGACAACAAGGGCGGCGAAGATGAGAAGAAGCAGACGATTACGATCCGTGTGAAGGACCAGGTAAGGTGACGAGTGGGGGTATGAACGTGGAGTGGACACGGCATGACGTGTAGTCTGGCGAAGAAACGTTCTTCAAGGTCAAGCCCCACACCAAGATGGAAAAGATTTTCAGCGCATACGCCCAACGCAAGGGTGTTCCCGTCACAGCCCTTCGATTCTTGTTGGACGGCACGCGTATCGGCGGCGACCAGACCCCTAAAATGGTACGCTCGGCGAGTTGTGGTCCATTCGAATGACGTGGACTCACGTGATGCCGTGTGCAGTTGGAACTGGAAGACCAAGACCAAATCGATTGCGCTTTGGAACAAGTGGGCGGTGCCATCTCGTTTTAAGCAGATTCAAGCAACCATCTTTCGATATCTTTATCGACAACCATGCCCACCACAGTGTGGTCGGCAATCATGGCGAACGGAGATAGATGCTGGTGTTTAAGTTGCTCTAAGCGTGTGTATTACTGCGCCGCTGATGGAAATGGGGCAACGCAGTATAAACGACTGCTGTGATCGTCAAACTGTGCCATCGATCTATGGATTGTACATGTGGGTCTTTATCCAGTTGGGTGGATTTGCAGGGATCGTAACCAGGTCTGTGTCGAACAACTCGATGAACTGCTCGTTTTGTAGCCGCACTTTCGACCCAGCAAAGCGTCGGTACTCTTCAAAAATCGAGCTGAGGTGCCATTGTTGAATCTTGCGTAGGCACCCGACGACGGCGCCAGTGCGGTCGCGTCCGAGATGGCACGTGAGGAATAGCGGGTAGTTGCCACGGTCCAGCACAATGTCGAGCGCCGCGAGCACCGTTTCCTCGCTCATGGGTTCCCATGCCTTTCGTCGGTTTTCCAACTTCGTGTTGCCGCCTAGCACAATAAGTTCGATCTCTTGCTCTTCAACGAAGCTCAGGAGCTGCGCGTTCGGCTCTTCCGGTGCCAAGTACACGATTTTGCGCAGGTTTAGGCGCTCCAAGAAGGGAAAATTCAGCTCGTTCGGGATGCCGCTTCGATACAGGTCCTCCTCGATCATGCCATAGTTGACGGGCGGGATGAAGTACGACATGCCGTTCTCACCCGCTCGCTACCCGAGCGCCCGAGGCAAATGGCGGCGGATCACACAAATCTCCGGATAGCACGTGTCCTCCGGATATCTTCTTCCGGATTTCGTTCAAACGCCTACTCGATGAATCCAGATGCCATCACGATCGCGTGCTCGTCAGGAGCGGTGACGAGGAAGCTCTGATGGACACCAACGATGTGCCAGACACAGTAGTTTCGCCGCGACGACTGGACCTCGACTTGGCGAGCTTCATCGCGCGGCTGTGTCAAGGCAAACTTCACCATGGCCAAGCGCATACGTGCCTTAGAAAAGCAGCGACAAGCTGGTTTTGACAAGCCAAAGTGAGCCGCAGATGCTGAACTAGCGCGAGCTCCGAGGTAATTGCACCATCAGTCATCGGGGACTTCTACGAGGTTCGTGCGACATACGAAGTTGTTGCGCCAAGAATGCAAAACGTCGAACGATCCAGACAAAGGCGTCGAGCATTCGTCAACGGCGTGTGCGTCATTCATGGGATTCATTAGCAAGTCCAAGTCAGAGCACTCCGCTGCTTCCCAGACGAGGGAGATGAGGAAGATGGTGGCGAAAGTCATCACCGTGAAACAGCTCGAAGAGCACGACGTCGCGTGGTTCGTGGCCGTACGTCGAAGTGCGAAGGAATGAAGTGGAAGCCTGGCGTCGTCACGATGACACTCTCGCCGAGAACGTGGTGCACGGGGAAGATTAAGTACACCAGGATCATGGACACTCCAATCAAGACCCTATCTCACGACCCTCTTGAAGAACATATGCGAGGAAGAACGTCAGCCTCGATATGTCGAGCTCCAACAGGACAAACATGTACCCTATCGACCAAAGATGGCATCACAAAACTAGTTCAACCATGGCCATACAACCGTCGAAACCACTTCGTACCGGAGAAGCTGTACGCTGCCACAAGCACACTCGTGTACAGGGCGGGCTCACGAAAGAGCGTCGAGAGCTGCAGCAACGCGTACAAGATGCCCATCCCGCCAAACCCAATCAAGGCATACCCGGCGGCGAGGAGGCTGTCCGTGCCATCGCGGGAGTCGCCCATGGCCAAAGAAACGTTGCCAGCCATTGAAAACTACCCTCACAGCACAAAAGGTTCGTCGTCGTCATGGCTCAGGCTGGCAGACTGCACAACAGCGAGAGACCATTTGCGATACTTTCCGAATCCTCGACATGGCGGTGCTGGTGCGGTTGCAGTAAACTCAGCGACTCAGGCGCTACGTGGAGTCTGTCCAAGGGAGTCGTATGGAAGACCGAGATGCGCGAACGCGCAGAGTCGACATCGGTGCGGATGCCGGCAACGTTCAGACTAAACACTCGGTGGATTAGTAGCCCTTTACGTTCAACAGCGTTCTAGCATGCAGCACGACGGTCGCGGTGTCCTCGAGGGCAGCTTCAATCAAGTCGGCATTGCGATATGCCGACGGCCGCTCGTCCAATGTTTCGGGCACAATGCAGCTCGACTCGACCGCGCCCATTTCGTCGCGAAAGCGGCGCATCGCAGCGCTCACGGCTTTTCCCTTGCGGAGTTGCATGGCTTGACGCGACCGAATGCGGCCGCATCCATGCGGCCCCGATTGGTTCCACTCGTCGTTGCCTTTCCCTTCGCAGACCAACACCCCGTCCCGCATGTTGAGTGCCACGACACACCGTTCACCGGCGTGGCACCGAATGGCTCCCTTTCGAACAACAAGGTCTCGAAAATCAATGTAGTTGTGCACGCTTTCCATGACGCTGGCTTCGTCCAACTCGAGACCGACCGCAAGCAATACAACCGACAAGATCGCGCGACGGTTCATCTTGGCGTACGTTTGAGCCCAGATCATGTCGAAGAAGTAGGCGCTGGCGGCGGCCCCGCGCAAGGCCCGGCTGTTGGAGCTGACGCCGCGAGTGTCCTTGTCGTCGTCTTGAACGTCGGCGAAGTTGTCTTGCTCCATCGTCGCGCCGGACTCGCTGTTTTCGAGATGGTGGTACCGAGCAACGCGCTGGCCAAAGTTACGCGACCCCGTGTGGACCGTGATGTAACCCCCACTGTCAACGCCGCCATTGTCGTTGATCTCAATGAAGTGGTTGCCGCCCCCCAACGTCCCCATTGCGCGGAGGTCGAACTCGTAGATGGATCCTATCTCTTCACACCGTGACCGCCACCACGCCGCCGAGTATGTGGGCATGTGCTGGCGAATGCTCACACCGAACGCGGATTCAAATGCAGCTGCAAACGCTTCTGCGTCCTCCTGGGCGAGGGCAAAATATTTGTCGTATTGCGACGGTTGCACGAGAGGGACGGCATGCACTCGGTCATGGCCGTTTCCCATGGGGACGTGGCGTTGGATGACTGTGTCGAGTTTGGCCAGTGCGTTCTTCTTGCACAAGAGAGTTGGAGGAAGTGGATGCATGGCAATGCCGCACCCAATGTCGCCGCCTATCAGGCCTGGCAACACCGACTCAGTCAGTTTACACGTGAACCCGACGCAACATCCGTTGCCTTTGTGCACATCGGGCATGACCCGGACTTTCAAAACCGACTCGTGGCCGTTCATGGCTTCGATTTGCTTGATTGTTTCACGGTCGACGTGGTCTTTGGCCAAGAAGATTTTGGCTTGCTTCTCGGGCGGGCCAACGGTGAACATCGCGGAGTTTGACGGGTTTGGCATCTGATGTCCTTTGGAGTTTGACGGGTTTGGCATCTGATGTCCTTTGGCCTTCGACGCCGCCATGACCATCATTCACCGCACATGTCGATCTTGATTGGTCAAGATGCAGAGTGCATGTCAATTGCGGGTGTTGAAGGTCCTGCAGAACATTTTTGCAACGTTCAGTTTTGGGGTTGTTTCGATAGTAGACCTGGGCATAACTTGATCCGTCTGGGATGTCGGGAATCGAAAAGAACGATGACTAGCATCAGGATTACGCACTTTCGACGGGTATGTTCTCGGAAGTGGTGAGTGAAACGGCTTCCCTCTCAGCTATGATCCGAGCGCAATGCGATTCTTGCTTGTGTTATAGGCCAATAGGACAGACGTTTCAATACAACATGACATGCACGGCGTATGAATACAACAATGTTCGCCAGCCATTTTGTACTGCCCAACCTGACGACCATGAGTACGTATGATGTAGGAATTCTGCCATATGGGAGTTTTTCTTAGTTGATTAGCATGTGTAGAGCGCCTAGATCTTTCACCAGGAGGAGCGTCACCCATCGAACTTGGTTGGAGTTAAATCCCACACCTACAAATGGCGACACCGCCACCATGAAGTAAGTTTGACCTAAATGCAACTCCCAGAGTCACCTCCATTTCGGCGCCAACACTACAACATGGCAACGATGCCCGTCGGTAGGGCCACTGTTGGCCTGCTATGATCTTGGCTTGCACGTAGATTCAGTACAAAAACTGCTGGATGTCAAATGAAAGTCATGGTGTTTAGTAGTATTTGTATACTAGTGAATAAAAAAGTTGTCTACAGCTCTTGTACTTTGTCGAAGAACGGGAACAGATACATCTCCGGCGTGTTGCAATACGCCCCTGAGCTTTGCCACCCTTCGAGGATAGCGATATCTGACTTTCCACACAGGCATAAGGAACCCCCAACAATAACACTGCATCCACCGCTGATTTGCTTCGAGAGCACTTTCTCGTCCACATAGAGGTCACGCCAATACTGCAGTATCCATCCGGGCCGTCCAAGTCGAACTAATGTTCGTCCTAGAATACAACTTGGCCGCAAAAATCCAGATTCGCCATGTGCATTGCATCGACAACACGACGTGCCTTCTGGATGAGGCATCAGGTGGCGCCGGCTTTTTCTTCGCGTAATTGATGAATTTACTCGACTTTTGCACGTCCAGCACAGTGAGGGCAGTCACCCGGGCCGACAGTTTATTGGCACTTTGCACTGATAACGAACGATTGCGCCGCAACATTCTTCGTATATCACGCTTTATCAACTTGACTCGCCTTCCCAACATCTTCTTCGTGCGTAACTGAAGTCCGAGGACTTCAATTACCAACGCACTCATGACTCTGGTCACTTGAGGTGGCGCCTAATCTCACTGTTGAATATCTTCCCCTTCTTCCAGGTCAAAATTTGGTCCATTTCGATGTCAGTGAACTTGGAACCCCTCGGCATGATGAGCGTTTGACCAATTTCACCGTGATTTGCGCTACGATATTGCGTTTTGATTGACCCATTCCCTGCACCTATTTGTTTCCATGTTGACTGTGTTGACGCTGCGTCTTAAATTTTCTAAGTTTAGAAAATATATTACGCTTTGAGCTCACAAATATTTCCGATGACTCAAATCCAGGTCAATTCAAGCATCTTCCTATTTGTTGGCAACTTCAAGCACACTAACTGTATTCTAGTTTAGACGTTGCTCTTGGTGGTACCTACCTATTTGTCATGTGAATAGATATGACGAGGCATGTGGCCCCACTGACGAAAAACTTCCAAAGACTTATGCGACGGCAAAGAACGGAATTCTCTTATTCACAGCAATTCTGAAGTAAACACACTTTTGGATGTTAAACCAAGGCGAACGTTTTGATACAGAAATTAAATTGCGAGAGAAAATCAAAATTTAAAGTTAAACTGGGTTCACAAGTCTTGTCACAAATATCAAAGGACATTTATTGCTTAGCTCACTCACCAATTGGCCTCGTCAATGTCGTCGAAGGAATCGACGACTTCATCGTAGCGTACATCATGGATATCCATTTGTTGCAGGAGCACGGCAATTTCTTCGGTTGCTTTGGTGGTTGTTGTTGGCGCGTCGTACTGCTTAGCTAGGTGCGTTGTTCTCGCATCGATCAAGTTACATATGACAAACCCACGGACGATTGCAGCCTTTGGAAGGGCCTTCCATGCTTCGTTCACCCACTCGACCAAATCGAATCGTGACGGTGAGCGCAGATGAGAGGTGCCTTCGTCATTTTTGTGGTTTTCGATTTCATGCAGCAAGTAGGTCACCCAGCGCTCGCGCATTGCAGCCTTCATTGGGTTCATCCACGCAACATCCACTGGCTGGCACATCCAGGTAAATGTTGGCGGAATCTTTTCTAGGATGGCATTCATTGTTGCTGCGCAGGCAACCACATCGTCAAAAAAATGAGCACTGAAATCGTCCCATAGGAGTAAGACTTTCTTGAGGTCATGGCCTTTGAGATGACGAAGATGGTAATTCAGGAAATCTTTGGATATTTCACTGTTCCACCATGCCGTAGGGTTGCCGTACAAGCGTGAGGGATACAGTTCGTGGAGCTCTTCGATTTCGGGCTACACGACAGACCCAAAGCCGTTTGGTTGCGTCAGGTTCTCGACACTTTCTCTTTGATCTTTGACGCATTTGACATTAGGACCAAAACATGGGATATTTTGTGCCCTTGGTGTCGGCCAGCAGCTTCGCCCTGATACGGTCCTTCTTGTGCCCGGAACAACGAATCCACGTCGTCTTTGACCCCGCGCCATCAATTGTTGTTTTTGTAATGTACTCACAGTTGATTCCTGTCTGATCCGCATAGTAGATTTCGTCAATATCTTCGGTGGTGATCAATTTGCGTATGTGGCTGCTGAACATTGCCAATGCAGCTTGACCACGTTCTAAGTTGGACTGTCCAGACTTTGTCTTCGTTCGCATAGTTAGCTTCCAGCGCTTCATAAAACTCGCAACCCAAGGTTGTCTAGTGTTGAACTCGTCTTCCTTGAGCCCAACGCCTTTGGCTACTTCTAGCGCCTTACATTGTAACAGGAAACGACTCACAGGAATTCCGTCTGAACGAAGATCGTTTGTCCACTCGACAATTTGTTCTTCGTTCTATTTACCCAGCGTAATCGCAGTGCCGATGAGGAGCGAGTTCTTTTGCGGCGCGGTAGCAGGATTACAAGCTTCTTCGTTATTTGAGCGCGGTTGCATTCCAGCGGAGCACTCTTTTTGTGCGGACAGTCGTACAGTCCCTTGAGTCCTACCAAAGAAGCGATCAAGTGCGGAGTCCATTGAGTGCTCTTTTCTCCAACTGATAATGTGGAGCTGCTTGGCATATGTAAAGTACAGTCTTTGATGCTGTGGAGGATCAATACGTCTGCGATTTTTGACCACAAGTCTTTCCGTTGCTTTTCGGTGCGGTGTGGAGTAATCTGTCGGTGATATCCTAACTTTCGCGCCAACTGGGCATTCAATGCATACTCTTGAAGCATGATATTAATTATATTCCAAAGGCAACTCAAGTGAGCAGGTGACTTCTTAATTCTATATATTCCATTATAAAATAATATAGGTCTTTTCATTCACACATAACAATGAGGTAAAGTTTACCCATTATAGGAAATAATCTCCTACGTCTTGTTTCGTTTTCTATCTGACATTAATCATGATATTCTGAAGATTTTAATGTTCGCATATTTAAAACATTTCGCGCACTGTATCAGCATTGTTCAGCGTTTACACAATTCTTCTCCTCGCCTTCCAGCCTGGAATCTACTTCCTCAATCCTGCAATTGTTGAGTCAACTTCTTGATTCTTGGAATCTTGTACGAATTGTCACCATTCATAGATCACTATGTTCATAACTTGTATTAGAGCCTTGCCGGCATGGCTTCTCAGGCAAAGTTCTTGGTAAATGGTGAGTTGTAATCTGATTGGCTGCTTCGAAAGCGCAAGATCTATGTTTTGATTGGACAATTTGTGGCGTTTGTGAGCGTTATGGTTGTTGAAGAATGACGGGGCAAAACTCTCGGATCCTCCGCAGCCAACATTCTATGATCCGCCAAAAATTCAAATTACAATCTGCAGTAATACTCCACATGCATTACAGCACACAACCACTCACCTACATGTCCCCCTATCGAGGCACTCGGTAGTAAGCCGCCCCTCTCGTCGTCCGTGTGTCATTCGAGGCCTGCCAGCACTTGAGCTCAAATGAGCGCCGCTCAGTGTACGAGACGCTTGTGCGCGATGTGCTGCCACGTGAGCCATGTCGAAGCTCGCTGCCAAGTTTCGCTGCAATCTTCGCACAGTCACTCGACAATGGTTTCGTCCATGCGTGCAGCCGGAGGATGTCAAGTCGTTCTTGCTCAATTCGTTTCGCGATGGTAATCTTGCTGCCGATGCCACCACAAAATCAAAGGGTACTGAAATTCTCTATCACCTAATGAATACTTCCTCTGTGTTTTAAGATAGAATATCATTTTTGCCAGTATTTTATCATTATGTTTGTATGGTTTCGAGCATCCAAATATAACGATCAATGAACGGCAGCAATAAGCGCATCGATACTGGTACAGTCAACTTGATAAAAACTCGACAGAGTGGTATTCGAATAAAATTGAGCATCCGATGAGCAATGCCGATTCGGCGAAATATAGTCACAATTACATTTCACCCAGTGTTTGAATAAATACCCATTGAATTTTAACCCTATGTGATTGGTCGATTCGAAAATCCCTCGCATTTTGAACTTTGATGCCAA